CGTTACTCATTTGAGCCAAGTTGGCCTATAGCTCAAAAATTAAAAGGAGCAAGGTCGTACACTCCACCTCAGTTCTCCCCTTACCCCTCTTTACTTTTAAGTCACAGACCGGCTGGGCTCATGTGAGTAACGGATGAGTATGTATTAAAATGAAAGTAACTGAAATGTATTTTTCTACTTTAAATATATATTCTATAAGTTTAAAAATAACATTTATTAGAGCTGTGAAAATTATAAAACTATACGTCTAGCTAAATAAGATTAAACTTTTTTTCACGTTTAAAATTAATTCTATTAAATTCCTTATATCTCTACATAATTGTTGCAATTATCTTTTCAACATCTTATACAGTTCACTTATATTTCTATTCGACTCAAAGAGTCGACAACAAACACATGTTGTACATTATTTAAAAGACAATAAATACTTTTTGGTCGTGTATTAATTTTTTACTCTTAATGTTAATTTTCAGGTGATAAATAAAAGAATACAACGGCAAATAAACAACTTGTAACAAAGTAAATTAGTGATGCTATCAACACAGTCAATGTCTTCTACGAGTCTTACTGCATATTGTGAACACCAGAAGAGTAATTATATACTATTTTATTAATTAATACTATCAACAAGTATAATCAATATTATCAAGTATTGATTCTTATGTGTTACAGAATTACTTATTGATACCAATATTCGTGTGACATCTCATGGTCTACCAGTTAAAAAAATATTTATTAGTAACTTATCAAAAAGGGTTTGTGTTTATATCTTCGATATTATGTTTAATGTATAACTGAAAATATATTTTTGAAATATTCCTTTTCGCAGACTAAGTTTAAACATCTTAAAAAACGATTATCTAAATATGGGAATGTGATAAGTGGCTTCATAGTGAAGGATCAAGGAAGAAGAAACTTTGGCATTGTTACTTTTGATACACCTGCACCGATACATCATATAAAGTACGCATAAAAACGAATATAAATTAACCATTAGAAACTTTCAATGAAAAATTTAATAATTTACAGGCGTCCACGTGAATTCATACAACTGCACAATAGAAGCTTATTTATGGATGTAGTGGATTTATGGCATCAACCAGATAGCATAGAATACCAATATTATAACGAAGAAGGACAAAAACCTTGTGAAAAAGTGTCAAATGATCAATCTAGTCAAATCCCCATTGAATGTAGCACTACAGAGAATAGCATTCAAATATTGAATAATGATTGCTTAAAGCATATTTTTCAACAGTTACCAATTTTAGATAGAATTAGAATAGAAGGAGGTAAGAATATAAGCTATGTTGAAATACTAGCTTTATGAACGTTTAGTGTACGGTTTATTCTATTGTTCGTTTGTTTAGATTTTATTTATTTATTAATTATTTGTTAAATGTTTGTATCGATTTTCATTGTTTCAACTACACGAATACATATCCTCATTATCTATTTTTCAACCCCTAACGTCCGAGATCTAAACGAACGAATATCAAATGTTCTGGGAACCATAGAATAAACTGTATAATAAATGTCCGTAAACCTAGTGTTAATATACAATAGATACACATTATTAAATGTTTCAATGTTTGTAGTGTGCAAAAGATGGAAAAGTTTAAGACAAGAAGCTTGGAGCGATATTAAAAAACTGGATCTTTCAAGTACAACGGGTTCTATATTTTCTGATCTGGTAACTGATACAGCTACTCTACGTAAAATTTTACGACGATGTGGAAAATTTTTAAATGAAATCAATCTATCAGACAGAAAATGCGAATTAAACCGGAGTACAGTGAACATTATTGCAAAATTATGTCCTAATTTACAAAGGATTGATATCAATCCTCTCGGTATTTCTAGAGGTGGAATCAGTTCATTAGCATATCATTGTCGTAATATTACACATATCAATCTTGGTCCTATTAACAATATCCGCGATAAGGACTTAGAAGTATTATTTGACATGAATCCGAAGTTACGACGTCTAAATATATATAGGTGTGATATGTCGGGAACTTGTTTGTTACACTTACCATTAGAAACAATGGAAGAAATTATTTTACAAAGGTGTTCGAATCTTGAAAGGCCGCATTTAGAAGAGGTAAACTAAATACTTCTCTAATATATAGATATATATTTATAAATTATTTTAATATATCCTGTTTATATATTTCTAGGCAAGCAAAAGATGCCATAATATAAAGAGTTTAAGACTTAAATGTTGTAATATCCACCATAATGACGTTAAAACTATTAGTACACATTGCAAAAATTTGAAAATATTTCAATTTTCTTGGATTTGGTATCTGACGACAGATGCAATTCTACATATTTCGAAATTGTCTAATCTTGAAGTTCTGATAATTAGTGGTAATGAATTTATTCTGAATGAACATATTCAGTACATATCATCAAACTGTCAGCAACTTACTTATCTAGATATCTCCGGTAAGCTGAATATTATTTCACAATATACGCAAGGTGAGATATTTAATTCACACATTCAAGTAGCTTCTAAATGGAATGTTGGATTTTGTATAATGAAAGTTGGGGAATACAAAATTTTAAATAAAAGTTTATTGAATTATTAGTCCTTAGTATAGTACAGTTCGTAAGTATAGTTGTAAAACTATATAATCGTATATATAAGAATTTTTCAATCAACATATAATTTAAACATTATCAAATGTGTGAATTGAGTATCTCATCCTATACATAGACACATCATATTTATATAAGTTGTTCTTCAATTTTTATCTGTTGCAGATTGTCGACTTATTGGAACGGATGGTATAGCAGCTGTAGCAACGTTACAAAATTTAGAAACATTGATAATGAATAACGTCGGAAGTATATGCGATGTCAGCTTGCGGAATTTGCGTAACTTGAAGAAATTCGAATGTCGTGCATGCGAGTTTAGCGATAAAATAATAATCGAACTTTTAATATCTGTGCCTGAGTTAGAATTATTGGATTTAACATTCTGCAAATGGATTACGGATGCCACATTAAAAGAAGCCATCGCGGTCACCGCAAGAAGAGTTAATAATAAAGTCTTAAAAATCTTTATTGACAAAACTAGAATAAACCTAGCCAATTTTAAAACAGTAACGCCGTTGTTGGACATAATTGAAGTAGTCTCTTAATCAAAATGCTATTTGTGTAATATTTATACCTTAATAATATTCCGTGTAATGTTTTTGTAAATTCTTTTCGTAATAAAATGTTTAATGTTTGTACCTTTAAAGATGTCATTATCTAAGTTCTACATCAACAGAAACATGCTTCAACATAGAATAAATTTATTCTTTGCATAATTCATCATTGAAACAGTAAATAGATAAAATGATAATTATATTAGTATTTAACAAAAATTGATGAAATTAACACCTCACTGAACTATTCTTCTCATTCATGTGTTATGAGAAAAATGATTAACATCTCCTAATTATACTTAATTACTGAAGTTCATATAAATACAAATACGGTCATATAAGTGGCTGGTTTTTCAAATATAAGTCATAAAAATTATACAAGAAAGACTCGATGTATAGCTGTGCAATACGTATATACAATTGTATATATACTTATATTGTGTACTATACTACCCGTGGCAGCATCTGGTAGCGCTATAACTGTTAGTTTGAGTGAATATTTGATAGAATTACACTTACAGTGCAGTTCCCACCTTCGCTTCAACGTCCATCAAAGTTAAAAGTGCACAGGGACAAAGGGATTTTTCTACTCACGATGCTTAAGGCCGCTTAAGGTAACAGTACAATGATCAAACGCTTTTTGCAAAATTTTGTGTCTTAACTTTAGAATTTCCAAAAATCCTTCACATCCATATTTTCTATATGCAAAATGAAGTTGTAAGTAGAAAATAAACCCAATCAGAGCACAAAAGTTTCAAAAGTTTTACTTTTTTCCATAATTTTGCATCTCATTTTTCGTATCGCCAAAAATCTTTCTCGCAAACATTGTTTTTATGCAAAATGAAGCTATGTCAAAAATTCACCCCCATATTAAACTTTTCATATGGCACAGTAGTATCTAATGTCATCAGTGTTTAAAAGATATGGTCTACCTTATTCCTCGTTGATGCTAGCGAACTCTGTTTTACTCCGACGGTCAGTTAGTAAACTATATAAGATTGCTGTCAGACATGGGTTTAAGATTCTTCCATAAATTCAAAATATTGCAGCTTGAAATTGTCAAAAACAACAGACCTAGAGCGCTAACGGACTTTACCGGAGTAGTAAGAAGAAAAAGAATAATAAGAAAAATAATAGACATATCTGAATTTGATATAAGACCAGAATCACCTTCATGTACCTAAATCTCAGTCATAAATATTCAATTATTTTACCAGATGCATTATTGTTCAAATGATTATACATATTAAAATATAATTTACAGTTTTCATTACACAAATGAGAATGGAATGCACTTGCAAGAAGCTCGATTCTTACTAACAAGTGTAAATACGTAAATTATTATTAACATTGAACATGATACTGAGGTAAAATCCATTAAGATTTATACAATGATTCTTATGTTACAGGATTTCTGTGTTGCAGTATAAAAACATTTTATCTTATAAATAAAATCTTATAAATAAAGATATTTATCTTTGTGAAATTAAGCACCTTCTTTGGCAGTCTTAAATAGTTTAATAGCTGATCGTTTCATTCAAGTAAATTTGAAAATTATGAATTTATCTATTCGAGTATCAGCTAATATATTAGCAGATTATTTATTAGTATTATTGTTAGGATCATCTACAGAAAGTATACTTACATTTATTTCATTTATGATTATTATTCAAAATATATTATTATTATTAGAAATTTCAGTAGTTGCACGTGGGGTGTGAGTGTATTTTCAGAAATCTGTGGTGTTTGATTCAAGACTGCAGTATCCAAAGAAACTTTTCAATGATACGCCGCTAGATGGCATCCTAATCAATCGACCAAAGCAATACGCATTATGATACGAGTTACGCTAAGGTTGGTTCACCAATCACGTTTACCTCTATTTTTGTAGAGGTCGGACGCATGTGCCAAGGAAGAGTTTGTTCGACATGCTGGAGGACTTCAGTGCGGCTTAGACTTCAGCCGGACGGGGTCTGGCCATTCTTGTCTGCGGTGTGTGTTACTGTAAGTACACGAATTCTTGACTGAAATTTGTCATATTTTTGCGTCGTTTAGTCGTGTCGCGTCGTGTACACAGCGACGTCTTTGTAAACCATGGTAACCGTTTTACCGGCGCATCAATTATTGACAATTCTTTTGTGGCTGTGAGAAGTGACAGACGAAATTAGCTGAGAAACCTGAACCCATGCGTTTGTGACTGTGCTATGAAACTTCAGTAGATATTTTCTACACTTTTTTTCTGTACAAGTTTCTCACTAATTGGATGTCTGCTGTTAAATTCATCGACGAATTCTCGTGGCATAGTTTGCTCAAATGCGACGTTTGTCGTCGCAACGCAAAGATTGATTGCGCGGGTGTATAATTTTTGGTCAGTGTTACCATTACGTTTATCGATTATTTTTTTTTGTAAACGGATTTGGAAAATCAGTGTTCCCCGTTTCAGTAGGTTCGCGTTTTTGATGCAACATTATGGTTAGCACTCGTACAAATTCAAAAAACAAAAATGCATTAAAATTATCGACTCCATTTGGATATTTTCAAATGAAATCACTTAAAGTAATTCGTTGCCAACATTACGTGCTGGTTAATGTAATTTGTAAATTTAAAGTATGAAATACTCACCGTCATTGTCCAAATCGTCTCCTCCAAATGACGTTTAGGACGTTTATGTAATAACCTGATAGATGGTTATAAGCATCGATCGACGGACTCTCGATCTAGGGTCAAAGATCGTGATCTTCGATATCGATCACCCGATAGTAATATCGATTTTCGATTTTTCAAATAGTCCCGTTGTAATTCGGTAAAAATTATCAGTATTGTCGATGGAATATCGAACTCATATTAAAAAAAGAAAATATTTTGGGAGTAATTCAATTTAATATTTTATATACGCATGACTATATTAATGAATAAGGTTACTACGAGACGCGTTAATAATATAAGACGAGTTGATAAAGATATATGAGAAAAGCATAGTATTTATACTCTTAAGCAAGAGTATTTATACTTGACATCGTAATCTCTCATTACGAGAATCTATTTATTATGTCAATAGAATTCGCGTTATTTACATAACCTGTTCCGTGACAAATATTAGTATAGTTTTCTCAGTTTGTGTCATTCTACGTTTTAATTCCTTATCGAGTCACTTCGACTTTGCCATTTATCTCCACAAAAGCTTAAACGACAATGCATCAGTCGGTAGCTGATTTCCATTGCGTTCGGATATTATGCGTCTTTAAGTATTCTTTTTATCTTCCGATAATAATTACAGCTTCTCTCATAATAAAATTCCATTCCGTATGAAATTAAGTATGTTTGGAATGGTTTATATTTAGAATGAAGTTTCATAATAAATTCATTTTATAAATTATTTATTATATTTTATATTAAGAAACGTGATGCATTATTAATTTCTTTTTTGTTAATTGTTGGTTGTAAGGGTATATCTTTATACTACACAATTGTACCGGAATCGTTTTCCATAATATAAGGGGTGCCATTATCATGTACCAACGAAAGGTGCGGCACCCTCTTTTTTCTTTTAAACTTGGATCGCCATTTCAACCTTCACGCCGGTTGAAAGAATATACATTGTTACATTTTTTATACATTTTTCTTATAAATTATGTAATATAAAAAATTTTTTAAATATTTTATGGTTAACTTAATTGCACAAGCAGTTCAATTAATATCAACAAATAGCTAGATATTAACAATTTATGAATTATGCTAATTATTAAACAATGGATACAATTTCAATATATTCCATTAGATCGAAAAAGTACAATGAAGTATTGCTTTGTTTACATAGAATAATTACCGAATACACATTGAAGGATTTATGTAAGGGCTAATGTCACGTATTTAAACAGAAATTATTGTCAGTAATAATATCATGTAAACTGATAAAAAAGCAAAGGTATTTTGCAAAGTATTATATGAATTTCTTTTTATCACTTGTTGCTTTTACCGATTCCGAGAATTTAACGACAACTACGTAAGTTTTTGTTTGTTAAAGTAGTTCAAAATTATGCGAATTTGCATATCTACTCGCGATATGTGACAAGGAAAATATGAATTCCTAACTAACCATTACAGTAGCACGATAAATTGAATAATAACTAAGTAATTATTTGTAATTCAATAGGATTTGAAATTGGATCTATGAGAAAGTCCTGCTCTCTTTCTAACGTTCTGAAATGTCCATGCCCGAGGGTACATAAAGCAAGTAGCGAATGAGTATTCAATTATTCCGCTTTTTCTTACCTGACAGGTACTGCAGAAGATAAACGTTCTACAAACTTAAGTACTAATTAGTCTGTCAATAGGAAAAATATAGGAAATATTCTCATGAAAAAAATGGTTTGACGATTTTACGTATTTCGTGAATTTTAGGAAAGAATATACTATATTACATTATATATACATGTATATTATATTACATTATATATAAATATATATTATATTATATTACATATAAATATATATTATATTATAGTATATATAAATATATATACAGTCAAACCTGTTTTTGTGCAGTAGATAGAGACCGCATAAAAGAAACCGCACAAAAAAAATATTTAGAAATTTACGAAATAGTGAGAAAGTGCTTTCAAACAAAATAAATAATTAAATTACACATGGAATCATTTAAAGAAAATTTTATTTTTCATACATGGAAAAATTTTCATGCACATAATTCACTGTTACTCGTCGTAATCCAAAACGCGCATCTTCTTGTGATAAACTGGTTCAAAGTCGCTTTCGACACTTGAAAAACAACAAAACCGTTGGAATTCATATACCGCATAAAAAAAACGCACAAAATAAATTGCACAAAAAGAAAATTGCATAGAAAAGGACCGCACAAAAACACGTTTGACTGTAATATATATATATATATATATATATATATATATATATATATATATATATATATATATATATATAAACAATTGAAAATTGAAGTTTAAATCTAAAAAACGTAAATTAAATAGAGCAAGTTTACACAAATTTAATAAAATGTAAAGAAATGGAAATGTTATTGGGTCAAAAAAGACTCGAAGAACGCAGTAGTGTTAACATTAGTTTCTATTTGAAATCAGATCGTTTCTCATAGGGCTACCCTTTGACCCGTTGCACTCTGTTGGCTACGCTACGGAGACACTCAATATAATCTATAACTCTATTGCCTCTGTTATAGGGTCACGTGTAATTTGCAGTACAGGTGTCATACTATTGATAAATCGGAATTATGAAATTCTTTTATAAGATATTACGTTTTAATCATTTTAAACTCTCCAAAGTTTTAATATTAATAACCTAATATAAAATATTAATACATCATCTCTGAGAAACGTATTAATACGTCTTTCGTATATCTTCGAGTAGAAATAAATAAGTGTTTGTATTTATTTCATTAACATTTTGTGTTAAAAGTAAAAATTCCATTTTCTTTCCATATAATTAAAAGTATTTCTATTTGCAATAGAAACTTCCAAAATATATTGAATAATAAATAAATAAGACTAATATGATTGATATAAGATGAAATGATCAAAATGGCCCGCATACAACGTGTGAAATATGTTTTTTAAAACATTAAGCTTACCGACATTTATTGTATACGATTTATTTTGTTTAGGGAGATCTAATTTTTTTTAACCGTGATATCATGACGAAAACATGATCAGGTTACTAAAAATATTTTTATTGAATGATTGTATTAAATCGGATATAGTCTTATCTTTATTGGGTAAATAAATCTAAATACGTCATACATCCGATAAAAATGTAAACTAGAGTCGTATTGAAAAATAAGAGATTTAACAAATTTGGAATTCTCAAGTATGCCGACATTAGATAAATGCGATAGTATCCTGACTAAAATAGATAACCTAGTATATATAACATACGCATTTGAGTCGTTTCTTATTTATAAAATTTCATGGAACCTCTAATTTTCGATTTGTGAATTTAATCAATTTGTTGCAAGGTTTGTTGTAATGAAGCAATTAAGCGTGAATTATTAGTTATTATTAAGTATAGACGGCTGTGTGAATGTACACATAAAAGAAATTAATATTGCATGAATATTGCACTAATTTATATATAAAGTATGAAACTGGTATTAATTCAGCACAGTATTCATTTGGTATGGCTTTAAGGAACATAACAGCCACATCAAACATGATTGCGAGTGCTGACATTTTCATATCTTTTAATATTTCCCACATAGTACTTTGATAACGAATTGTTTGAACCATCGATATGCGTTTGTATCGGACCGACCACTATCCATAGTAGACACTGGTCTCGAGATTATGTGATCCTTTCATTGTGTTCTCCTGAAGTGCGGGAATCAATAAGTGCCACGGTTGACATTTGAAGTAGTAATATTGAAATATACAAAAATATACAAAATGTGCAACAATGTAAAAAAGTGCAAATAATACAAAAGAATATTACAAAATATAGTACACAAAAAATATACAAAATATACAATAAATCCTACAAATTTATAAATTTCATTTATTTTGTGCTGCGTTGCCGCCAGTCGTTTTAATACTTCTTTATATGGCCACCGGTTCAGCCCTCGTGATGCGAAGGATAATCTGATCCTGCAAGGGTAGTTACAATACTTTCCCACCGGAAGTATCGATTTGGTTCATGCCCCATTTTCGGGAGCTTGAAACTAGTAGTGGGGCCAGTCATTTCTTTACCTGCTATTCATCTTAAGCACTTATAAAAATGATGATTCAGCCGTTTTAATCTTAACAATGCTCTTGATACGTAAGATCCATACCGTTTTTCAGTATGTCGGATAATGTTTATTAGAATTATGATATCATCGAAGAAAACAAGAACGTTATCGCGTACTATTATGTCATAAGTATTCATTCTGATCATTTACCGTTGTAATCAAACATCACTAATTCCCAGTAAAAAAGAATCACAGGTAGCACGAATATATTTATATATTTATAACCAAGTTTTGT